ATTATAAAATTACCCTATTGTGTTTCATTCTTTTCTATGTAAAATGGACGTAATTCTATTTTTTAAGTTTGTAATAAATTTGTTATGTTAAAAAATATACATTTTTAAAGCGTACTTATTCAATCATTAATTTTAAATGGGGTAGTATTTTAGTGTGTGGCTCATTTCTATAAATACACTTCATACTAGTATTACTTTATTACCACGATTTTTTTTGTCGCTTTATTGTTTGACCTTTATTGTTTTCACGACACTCGTCCATCTCTTCCATTAACAGTAATTTATTGTAATCTTGATTGTATGAAGACTATCTACCATTTAAACATTTTCGTATTTGAGATAACCAGTATTCTTGTGTTATTTGTGAGATATGTATGTTATAACAACTTGTCTAATCTGAAAATAATCGCATTTAATTGTATTGAACGGCCTAAACAGTTTATAATATTAATATTTTACTATTGTATACGACGTCGACACGATTGACCTCGGCACAGTGTCATATTATTATAATTCTATGGAAAAATACATTGTACAACAGATTTGATGCGAACAAAATAAGGTGTAAGTTTAGCGGATATTTTATACAATTGAGCTCGGATGGGATATCTTCACGCGGGTTGGAATCGGATTTTAAAATATACAAAGTCCATCGTGTAATCCATTAATATCCATTAGAACATAGATGGATAACGCTTTAATACATTATTTGTTATATCAACAGTCAATATACAACGGCCATCATCGCTAATGAAATTTGACAAGTTCATGTCTGGTAAAAGCCTGTCGGCATCAATATTCTATATTGTATACTAAATTATAGACACCGTTCGTATCAAATCTGTTATGATAATAATATACATATACATATTTATATATTGTTAACGAGCATTTTTATTCTGATTTTTGTACCTTCTGTATTTTGACTTTGTACCGATTACCTAATTCTACCAATAAAGTTAATATTTATAACGTTAAAATATAAAATTATTAACCGAACCAGTAACCGAATTATTAACCAGTTACATGTCCACGCACATTTCAATATTATCAGATTTTTTATTAACAATTGTATTCATTTGTTTTCTGTTTGTGAGTTAGTATTTATGATATTACGTACTTTCAGTCGTTTAGTTCACAACAATGTAAAAACTATGAGTTGTGGTTTTAAGCGTGCTTAACCATGTACCTCAATTTATAAATAGTTAATTGAATTGGACACTTTACAGTTTTTTTTGGTCTAAGCCAGTAAAGGGTTAAGAAGGGTAAATTATACTTAGCCTATACCTAAGAAAACGTACACAAATTAAAATACATGCAATAAAATTTAATGTAAATAGTTTATTCTGAAGTCACAGAGGTTGCAAAATGGTTGGTTAATACAAGATCAGCGACTTTCAGGTATCATAATGACTTCCAAACCAATAAACGAAGAACGTCGGCATTTCCATTGCTGGAAATATATAAATATTAAGCTTAGGACTAAGACATGATAACGGACTGTCTGTACTTGAATTAGTTATAGTAAAAACTACATTTTTTTAGAACCCAATATTACATTTTCTATGCACTACAAAATAATATAAAATTATAGATCACATATACATCAGGACTCAAATACAAGGTGGACAAAATATGTAGCTTACTCATAAAAAAAAATTAATTCTTATTATTAATAATTAATATTTTGGAGCGTAGCAAAATAAATACTTTAAATTGGCGAATATAACATATCATTATTATTAATATAATATATCATATACTAGAATGTATGATCATATGACTGGTCTAGTAAATTTTCTTAAAAAATAGAAGTCTTCACCAACGTTCATTGAAACGGGAAACACAGTTAAGCTTTTGCCATTGTACAGGTGTAGACTGGCAGATCCGGAGACCAGGAAATTTCCCAAACGCTGGCCAAATAGTGCAAAGAGTTGACCGAAGCAGAGAGCGGGGGACGGGCTATTGTATCTATTGACGTACACTGCATATTTTTTAATAGTAAAAAATTAAAATATATAACTTTTTATCATAAGTATCCTTCCCTGGAGAAGTCGTTAAATTGTAATTTCTATCATTTATGTTGTAATAGCTGATAAGAATTTGTCGAATATAGTTTGTTTGGGTGAAAGGATCTCCACCACTCCTTAAGTTGTCTCGGCGATAAATTTCATAACACTTTTTTTATATTTTCCACTAGCGTTTGTAATACAGTTTGGGTACAGCATTTGTATTTGGATCAATAAACCATTTTCGATAGGTACACATTGTTAACAATGTATTCTTTTAACTTTTATCCCTTACTATTAGGAAATTGGTTACTGCTTTTGTATTTGCTTTTATAAAATAGATCAACTAAACCGATAATGATATTATGGCCCGTACCCCCTATGAATTGTTATTTTACTAATAATATTTTAACGTTTGTTTTGACAAAATCAAGCATTGCTTATAATTAAATATTTTGACATCAATTAACACCTATGTAGATCCTAATATGTAATTTTTGATCGGAAGTGCTATTCCGGATAACATCTAGATATCAACAAAGTTTTCAGAGGTAAGTTGCTTGAAATATTACTAAACCACATTGTACAATAATATCGACTACCATATTATTAATTTACAATAGAAAACGTAATATTTTCCTCTGAATAACATGCTTGAAAATGAATAATGCTATTGATAAATATTTACTTTATTCTGTTTTATCAAGATCCTTTTCATTATTACTTAAAATACATATTTATGCACATACATTTATTTCCACAATGCTTTTTCTTGATATTAAATACTTTTACCATCTACAGATATGCAACGAAGCGTTGTTTTATATTATTTAATAGTATAGTTACTTAAGTTAATTTATAATAATTCCTGAAAAGCTGTGACCTCCCCGACCCAATATATTCCATTCTCGCTATGCCCCGGTCCAACAGCTGTGTTGCCTTTTAAAACTTTATGTGACCCCACGTTAGTTTTTTTTTATTAAGAAACGAGTTATTTTCATTTCCATAGAACTCCACAGTGAGTGATTTGATTTCGATTCTAACATCTATAACCATGAAATATCAATAATTAATACAAGGGATTTACTTATTTACACAGCTTATACCCATGTAATTAAGATATCGCTTAAATTATTATATAACTTCCTAATAGATGCTGAGTCAAAGCCACTTTAATAATATACAGTTTTATAAGTGTTAGGCAATAAGCAGGGTTGTAAAATATTTCCATATGTATATACTTATTTACTTACTACTACTATACTACTTTATATACATATTTAAATACTTTTTAAATAACTAAAGGATAATTCGATAGTAAATAAAAAAACATTTGAATACAACTATTTTAAAATACATGTCGAGTCACTTAAAACATAGCAACCTAGAAATTTAATACTGTCAAAGTGTAATTTTTCATTTCAAGTTTGATTACAGATTTTTGAGAAATGTTATAGGTCCGTGCTAGATCTATCTTTTGTCTGATTTTTATGTTTTAATGCCTAAAACTTTACCTATTAATGCAGAATCAAGAAAAAGATTCTACCCCTTGTATAGGAAAGGGCTTATGATTTTGTTTGGTTTGTCAACGTTTATTGTTAGACTATGTCTAAAGAATATTCTATTCAAATTTAGAACTATTTCGATGGTTTTTGAAAAATGTTCTAAAGCAGCATATTTTAAAGTCAAAGCTATGTACATTTATTGTGTGTTTTTCATGATTTTGAAGGAGAAGGAGTGAACTTTTAAAATTTTCTGCTTAATAATGTACCTTTTAGATACAATTTCTGATCTATAGACTTACTACATAAATAAATCGGTTCAGGTGGCTTAAATGTATCGTGGGTCCAGAAGACAAAAAAACGCATTATTGTAAAAATGAATTAAAAATGTTTTTAAAAATCACACAATAACGAAATAAAAAAATGTGTATATCTACTAGGGACCTTCATGAGACAATGAAGCGCAAAGGGTCAACCTATGCACATTTACCTACATGGCCCGGTCTAATGGAGCCAGTCCGCACCTGATTGTACAGTTCATATATTAGATTCATGACACTATCGAAATTGGGCATAAACGCGGTAATACGCTTAGGTCACGTTAAAAAATGATCCAAGTTAGTTTTTTAACATAAACATAGCAATATTTTATTTAATATTAGCTTGAAAGTAATTATTACATTTTAGAATCCGAATAAACTTTACAATTATCTGACTTATGATATTCTTTAATCAATTATACAATTTTTTTTAAATCTAAAATTTAAATTTAAAAAAATATATAATACAATTTGTTTTGCAATTAACGAAAGCTCATTTCATTAAGTAGATTTTGAAGTAATATAACCAACGCCTAATTTATATTTCTTGAAGCCTAATCAATAATTATGAAATTTAACACAATACCATTGAGTATAAATTGTAAAAAAGTGTATAATTTACTGCAGTATATTTATGATTGTAATTTCATTTTAAAGGTTAATACAGCATTTTAAGTCATACCAGTTGGAACGTTATTTATGGGTGGAGATTTGAGGGAAGGGGGTTTGGGATTCTAAAACCTTTAAAAACCCTTAAAACACAAAATTAGTGCCAAATTTATTTTTCTTCAACAAATCTCTTACTAAAAACTAAATGTAGGTATTTTTAAAAGCACTAATTTTAAGTTTTTAGTATCCCAGGTCCCCTAAATCTTCACCCATGACGTTAATACAACTGTACAGTGTTTTATACAGTTATACTATAAAAGCGATAAAATTATCTTATTGCCCTTTACACAGCTATAGTCACGCCTTGTTACAGATAAAAGTTGTGCTCTAAAGCTTTCCTAAATCCTAACTAGTATTGAGTATACTATAATATGTGCTTGATACAAAATGGCTTTCAAATGACCTATAACTATGCTTACGAGCTACTGAACAAATCATGTTACCGAAATATTTAAACTCAGTTAAATACCGTTATTAATAATATTCTTATGATTATCTAGATCAATGCAAAATAAGTATCAGCACTATTCAAATACGAAGTCGTTCGTTGTATGGCTTACCTTGTTGACATTAATAATATGGATGTTCACCTATTATTCAGTGACAAAATATGCTTTCGCTGACGACAATGGCGTCAAAGTCGAACGGTTCGATTCAACAATGTTCAGTAAGTAGTTGAGAGTATAAATAGTTTTATAATTATATTTAGTACTATTAATTATTAAGTATATGATTCGGTATATAGTTAAAATAGTATTCACTATTAACACCAATAGAGAAAGGGATATACGGATATTTTATATGCTTTGAAAAATACGTTTGTGAATGTAACTGTTTATAGTTTAATATGTATATAACTTTATATTAATAGTGTTAATATAAAAACATTTTTTTTTAAATATTTTATTACGAGTATGAATATTGATTACACGTTCAAAATGTATTTCAATACATATTTTAGAGGAAAAAGTACCAAGCGATTTTTTTCTCATTTTGCAATATTCTGAACAAGAACTATATAGAAAACACTATCTTTTCATAAATAAATTGATAGTTCAATTTAATATAAATTTCCATTTTCGCTCTAGCAGTAACCAGTTTGTTTGCATTTCAGTACCAAATGGATACTTGATCAATACATCAGGATGTCGGATACCGGAAATGTTCACCAGGGGACCGTCGGTAGACAAATTTATGGATACTGATCCTAAAGTAGACTGCACTAGCCACAAACATGACAGTCGTTTGAAAGGTTTCAAGGCAATTACGTCAGATGAGACAGACCTCATAATAAACCCCGATATCTGGACTAAGTTAAATTTATCCAAGAACGATACTTCATTGACATGTTATTATCAACCCGTGAGCCGACTAAAACCGACAGCTTCGAACAAAAAAGCCAAAAAATTTGACAATGAGTTTTTGTAAGTGGGTTCTGTCTAATAATTAACGCCTATATGTCCAGTTTTATCAAGCATTATTAACATCACTTGATATATATATTTTTTTTAAATTACCATTGGTCCGGGAATTAATACCTATGAACACCTATAATGTTCCAGAACAACTCTTGTTCCCTGAGATTATAATTCTAAACGCATAAAATGTATTAGCTTAGGATTAAAATTTTTTTTTAAAGTTTAATAAAAATGTATTGATAAATGTGTTGTTAAATTTAAACAATCACATTTATATGTAGTTAATCAATTTTAACGGATATAAATTCTATCGGGTATTATTTGCCCGTTTATACATTCTTCCAGGTATAATTTCCCCTGGCCACTTTAAACTATAATTAGTTTTTCCGTCTACCATTTCTTAAGCACGTTTATTTATTTTTTAAATCACCTCTAATTGTGTAGAACAAAATACACCGTTTTGTGTTACTTCCAGCGTGTTCTGTACATTTTACAATGTTCTAAAAATTATTATGTAGTGTTTTTTATTTTATTTTATTTATTGAACTCGGAACGGAAAAATAATGATTAAAACAATACATTTACATACTAGAAAAATACTGGGACTAGACTAGACCAAAGCATGTATGAATGAATTTAAAATGATTTTTTTTTTTTGTCATTAGGACTGGGACGAAAAAACAATTCAACGATAGGGTGACGGTGAAAGACGAATTCGTGAAAGCATGGTGTATATTAAAGTCGACCGAAGTGTACAGGTCCTATCACGGATTTGTGATTCCCGGGTCGACTACCGCAGCGAAACAAGTCGAAGGAAACGTCAGCGTGCTCGTGATAGGCTTAGACGGGATGTCGCGGTTGAACTTTAACCGTCAGATGCCCAAAACAGCAGAGTTGCTATCCAAATTTGGAGTTGTGGAAATGTTAGGCTACAATAAGGTGGAGGACAACACGTTTCCAAATTTAATGCCAACGCTAACGGGCCATTCGGTCCCCGAACTTGCGGCTAGTTGTTGGTCCAAAAAAGAAGATTTCTTTGACAACTGTTCGTTTGTATGGAATACCTTCAAGCGTGCTGGCTACGAAACCGGTTTTGGAGAAGACTCACCGTTAATTGGCGCGTTCAATTACCAGAAGAATGGATTCCATAAGCAGCCTACCGACAGGTACATTAGGCCCATGATGGTTGCCGCCGAAAAAGACATCGGCCATAATAAACCGCTCAATACGGAGCTGTGCATTGGTGACAGCATGCAAATGGCGTTTTTGTTGGATTATATACGGAAGTTTGTTCAATCCACGGACGACCACTTGACCTTTGGCTTTTTCTGGAGTACCAGTCTCACGCACGATTACTTAAACATAATGCGTGCCGGTGACGAGTGTCTGAGAGATTTTTTCGAATTCTTAAACCAGTCGGGACATCTAAACAAAACTGCGGTGGTGCTGATGAGCGACCACGGTCTAAGGTGGGGGCCGTTTAGAGAAACCTACCAGGGTAGTCTGGAGGATCGACTTCCCATGTTGAGGTTGATTCTACCAAAATGGTTCCAGGTAAAGTATCAGGCGGCTATGAAAAACTTGCGGGTCAACGTCGACAGGCTGACCACGCCGTACGATACGCATAAGACCCTTTTAGATTTCCTCGACCTAAAGCAGTTGGAGAACAATGCTATCAATCAGCGATCACTGTCCCGCGATCTGGGCATTAGCCTATTCATGGAAGTTCCTGAGAATAGGACCTGCGAGTTGGCCGGCATACCTAAACACTATTGCGCTTGTCACAATAAGGTCACCTTACTTCTAATTAACGACCCAAAAGTACAACACGTGGTTAGCGCTCTCGTGCACCACATTAACGTCAAGTTGAAAGTTCATCCGAAATGCGAACAGTTGAAGCTATATAAGATATTGTCTGCCAGCGAGGAGACCGGCGGCAACGGCAAGCTTGAGGACTTCGTAGTTCAAGTGATCACCACACCGGGAGAAGCCAAGTTCGAAGCGACCGTTAGGTACACGGACAATAAGTATCAGGTGATCGGCTCTATAAGTAGACTAAACTTGTATGGCAATCAGAGCATATGCGCTAATGATACCGAAACCAAATTATTATGTTTTTGCAAGAAATGATCATCGCAATAGTGTCCGTACGATCCATAGCAGTTCTATGAAAGAAATATTTGTATTCATGAAGAAAAAACGTCCCCACAGACAACATTTTTATAACATATTGTGTACGCTTGTCTTTTAATCAATTTTGGAAATAATTTATATAATTTAAAATACAATTTTTCAATAGTTTTACGTTAGTATAGGTTCGACGATTTATAATGTAGGTATAAATAACTTATGTTAACCATATATTGTACCAAATATTTCCGGGTACTCTCCAAACTATAAAAGTTCAGTCTCATAAACGAATTTCACTGACTTGTTTTAAGAATGAGTTGAAAAAATGTATAATATGTGAGTATACATTAAGGCTTAATGGTTACATTAAGCCTTTTTATAAGCCGCTAGGAAGACATATTGTGTCGTCCGAAAATGGTTACTTCTTAATTGTATACATAATACATATCACTAAAATAATAATACCGTATATTATTATTTGTATGTATTAATTTCCAATACAAAGTCATTGTTTGCATAATATATCAATAATAAAAAGAACTCCATAAGCAATACGTATGTACTGAAAATAATTAAAATTATAAGATTAAACTTAACTTTTTTATTATATTTATGTATTATTATGGGAATCATAAAATTCCGTCTTCCACCATTGAACATTACATTAAGTAAGCCGTTCTTAATTTTAAATCCGAAAAGTATAACAGTATAGCTATACTAAGTGTTTACTGATTTTGTTACTCGGATAAAATGCAAAACTCTGCTTTACTCTGATTTATTGTTGACTGTAATATTGTCTGATTTAATGTGTGTACGAATTTAATTATTAAGGAATGCGTTTGTTGTAATTTAATATTTTTTACACCATCTATGTTTTAACATGAATAAAACAGTAAAACTATGTTTGACTTTAATAATTGTATTGCTGACAAACGAAAACGACATTCGATCGGTTTAATACACTTGATTGTCTGTAGTATTTAGTTTATATATTTTACCCATGCACTAAGTATTACAAAAAAAAATAATAAACATGCATACCGAAAATTTAAAATTTGACCGAGCTGGTAAGGTAATATTGTTTAATAATCATTTGTGTATTTTGGTATACAATGATAAATATATATTCTTTTTTAATAAGTATATTGTTTTGTCTACACCGACAATAATTGTTAAGCCGATTCATATAATTTATTAATCAATGATCGTACACTAAAAATAATTTATACTAATGCTCTACATAAGACCAAAAGTTAAAATAAATCACTTCTACGCGGTATTAATAATAGTTGTAATTCTATAATAATAGGTCAATAATATTTTGTCTTTTATAATATTTTACACAGTATTACCGTTTTTTATATGCGTATTCTATATTTTGCTACGATACACATTTAGGGCGCAACCGAGAACGGAATTCGTGCGGTTAGCGGTTTTGTATAGGTAATATTTAAGAAAAAAGTGGTTTAAATAAATTTCGACCATGTCAATTGATTTACCGATTAATGTGTATAAGCTTCGTGGTATTATTTTTAATTTAAATCATTTTGTCTATGAGTAAAAGCCATTTTAGTTAATATAATAGTACGTTTGTTGTCCATCGCACAGGCCGAACCAGTGATCCGATTAGTAATCAGGAAACAGATTTGAATTCGTTATGAAGTTTACTTGGGATCCTACAAGGTACTTTTTTGATATTTTTTTCTTACTATGAATGAGAAACGTTTAAACATTTTATAAAATTTCAAATTTTTAAATTAAATTTGTAAAGGGTTAAATTCAAAATTGAATAAAGTGCCTCGGGGATCTCAAGTAAACTTCATGAAAAATTCAAATCTGTTTTCAAATTTATTATCGGATCAAAAAATGGACAAACGGACAAAAAATGATGTTTTGACTGAAAAAAACGGCCGGTATCGAAACCCCTTAATAGCTATTAAAATATTACACTATGTATTTTTGTATTTGGTGGTAGATTTGCCATCCTGTGTGGAGTACAATCGGCTATAAAAAACTATATATAGATCATATTGGCTAGTGTAATAAATCCTCTGAGTGTGTTATATTTTTATAGGTAATTTCTAAAACACAGTTAATTGGCACATTGGGTACTCATGTATCAGTTACACGGATCTCTACAGCTGTGACCCGGAGCGGAGGCCACGGCAGTGAATCATCAATATACAAAATATATGTATATTATTATGTCACACACACACACAACTCGCTCGTTGTGGCTTCTGTTAAATTTGTATTACACGCATAATACTTGATGTTTACTGTGTGAGTACAAAAATGATCTCCGACTGGTATAGAGATATCGCTGGACGAACGACCCAAGCATACGTTCAGTGTGGTCTTCGAGGCAGTTACTTTTTACGGGCGCCAAGACGCTGCAGAACGCCCTGCTGGTCGCCGTGCTGTCCCCGGGATCTGCCCTTTTTCAAAATCACGTTGACCACCAGCCCGTCGCGATTGCAGTGGTCGCAGGCTTCCTTCTTGACGAACTGCTTGACCTCGTCCACCTCTTCAAAGTCCGGCAACGTGCCCAGACACTTCTTGAACCCGTCCGGCCTCCGGATGTGGATTTTTCCGTCCTTCAAGTACACGTCCAACGACTTGTCCGACCCACACCTCGTCACGAACGTGTCGTGAGCGATCATATGGACGCCCTTAAGGGGAAACTGCTCTGCCAACGACTTGCACGGTCCCCTGGGCGATGAGATGTGCTTTTCGGCGCCGCCTGGATCTAGCGGGATCGACAGGCGCCACCGAGCCGGCGTGTCGGCGTTTGAAACACCAGCAGCGTTAGCCGTCGTCGTCCCAGGGTTGTATCGTTCGTCGTCTCGGTGTTTGTGTCTTTGATACGCTTGCAACATGTCCTCGTCATCAGCTGAAAAACATGTGGTCATCAATTGAATGACACGTGCATCATTCGAGAATATTGTACAAACAGCGCACCTACATGACTGATAGCTTTAGGATAGGACAAATTGAAATGATTCAAACCAAAATAGTAAAAGTGATTTTTACAACATTATTTAAGCGACCAGAATTAAAACTGTATTATTTTCAATTCATTCTCATGGATGATGTTCATTAGTTTTTTTCTATATATATATATATATATATATATCTTTTAGTCAATGATGAAAATGTATGTATGATATTTTGATGTTATGACATATGGACTGGTTCATGGTTAGTGAATCACTCTGTATGATAACACATTATACATTGTTAATAGTTAGGTTCAATTACCTACCCTCATTTATAAGACAACACTTATTATCAGATTTAGATATAAAATGAGGTGGCGTAGGTGAAAGAAAATGTCTAAAAGGGATAATGGGTGGGATTTTCACACCATCATTGACAAATATATAGTCAAAATCTTGTTATTGAAAGAATGACAGGTGTTTGTTTCTAACCACTTCAATTGAATTAAAGTTATGAGGCTACTTCAATGGAAGTAGAACCCCACAGGCCACACGTTTTGTATATATATAATTACTCGAATGTATGACGTATACTCTTTTTATAAAGGTATTTATAAAGCTGTTTTAATCGTTTAAATACACTCGGGCGATAAATAAAAAATTATCAATGTTAATCGTTTGGTCAAAATAATGGATGCCGGATGACTTTTCATTAAAAAGTCCTCTCGACTGCGGACTGTGTATATTAGTCAAATCTACAATGAAATATTTAAATAGTATATAATATTATACTACCATTCTATAAGCTCCTCGAACAAAAAATGGTAAGGTTAGGTTAATTAAAATATGTAGGTATACACATCCGTTATGATTTTAGGTGAGACATCGGATATTAGAAGAGTCGTAAAGAAATGTTGGTAGCTAACTTTTGTACTCCGTAAAATGAAATGAAGAAGTTCCAGATAGTTCAAAATAGATAAGAGATAATAGCCTATTATTTAATAATGGAAATAACTCACATGTACAAGACGACCATTCTCCGTTGGATATGTTGGTAGTGTGTTTTACCGGCTTGGCGAGACCAACGTATTCATGTACAAAGAATTTTCGGCCTAAGTTTTTTGTGCTAAAAGGGTCAACGCTATTGTCTTTACTCTGAATTTGGGTAGGCCTTTGATGTCCTGATTCGTCTTGAGTCACGGTAGAAGCGTTTTCGGCTGGGATCAAAACGTAACAACGCTTAACAGGTAAAACTGATAAGTCATTCGGCATCATTAGAATGTATGCAAATTGTGTTTAAAAACCGACATACGGATTGAGTTTCCAGACACTATGTTTACAAAAGGAAATATTTAATAAAAGTAGTTAAATTTATACCGAAATCAATTTAATATATCACTAGTGAAAATTTTAAAAATATTATTGAACCAACAATATATAGCATTTGTTACTATAGTTATGACGTCAAGCGGTTTTTCAATAAATGTATGTATATATTATAACTCGTAATTACTATTTATATTGGGTCTTAAAGAGCCACTCACGCTTTTCGTTACTTTTAAAAATTGAGTCCCAAAGTTAATTTTTTTGCAAAACTTAACACGTAAGGGTCTGACTAGCTTCGTCAAAAACTGCCATAAGCCCTGTCATTAAACTTATTTTTTAGGCAATGAAGTGCGTTACAACACATAGATACTACATATTATAATATATATACACTTTTCTATTGTTGTAGTTACTAGTTAGCCATTATGTTTTAATTATCATTTATTCTCCCAATATTAAATACGATTATTTTCATAACATACATATTACCGTCGTTTACTGAAACTATTCTCGTACCGCTACAGGCTACTACATATTATAGCTAGTGGCGAACCGGGATTTACTACTTTATGATGTTATCTATACATTGTCTCACGAATAGAGGTGGTTAGACGGGTTCAGCAGTGCTAGATGCTTCATTCGAGATGCGCAAAACACTGCCTATCTTTCGAGAGATAGAGTATAGAAATAATTTTTTTTTTTTGTCCCAATCTGCCCCTAGTGCTAAACTATATTATATATTAGGGCGGTCCTAGTCGATAGGGAGGATTGTCCTGAATTATACTTTTTAATTTCGTTTGAATACAATTTAAAACGTTTTACAAATTGAAGGGCTGCGGGGAAAAAAGATCAATGTCAATTTTTTTTAAAATGAGATTTTGGTATCAAATTATTTGTATTGATGTATTGTATCTTTTATGCACTCGAACCATGGAAAAAAACAGATTAGTCGAGAGTAACGACCGCCAGAAGTTTATACATACAGGCAAAATGTATTACGTTTAGAAATTAAAAACATGATTTTCTCAGAATGTTAAAAAATTGACATTGATCTTTTTTCCTTGCAGCCCTTTAATTGTTCAGACGAATTCGATAAAATCCGTAGTAGTATGTAAACGTTCAAACTGGAACAAAAGGAAACAGACCAAGTACCTATCTAAATAAAAAGCTACAGCTTTATAACGAGGTTAGGCTCTAGTTAAATTGTATAATCTTTAGTGCATTTAAAGTTTATGATATAATAATCATTAGTCATTATATTATGTACTTATGTTAAGAAAAGGGAAACAAAAAAAACACAATTTCAATATTATACAAATAATATATAATACCTATCATATATATTTATACTTATCTAATATATTTAAAGTATTATGATTTAAAAAGGAATAAAATGATTAACATAAACCAAAAATGAAAAGGAAATGCATAGAACTAAAAATTAATGAAATATAGTATCGATCAAGTAGTCACTTGCGTTTATCAAACATGTACGTCGTAGCCAAGACTTTCCATTTCTGAAACAAGAAAATAAAATGTGATTAAAATATACAATTAAATAATTCTAAGGAATTGGAGTCCAAAATTATAAGTTATATAAGTAGCATCACCTATAATTATAAAATTGTTTTTAAAATATTTGATCAAAGTAATAATAGTATTAAATTAATATCACAGCAGCTCTAAATTATTACAAAACAACATTTAGTTATTGATTCATACAGTAAATTGCTAATGCCTTATCTAAATTGTTTGATAAACCGTTTATACACATTTATAAAAGTAATTTAACTTTAGGCTATTTATAAACTATTGGATATAATATAAATTATACAATGTGTTCGTTCTATTCTGGTTTTTCTCAATAACTCTACAAAATTTCTATACTTAATAATTATTGCTTTAGAAAAATTAGTTTTTGAGTAAAATTATGAAAATATTGCACATAGTTTTATTTTATAGAAAATCCACTAAAAGACATAAATAAAACCCCGGTATTATAATTATTATTTTAATAATACCAATTTAAAATAAATAATAATTCAAAATAGTAAAGGAAAGGAAAAAAGCTACAGTCTACTTAAAGCCTAACGGCTAAAATTATAAAACATGGAACATGCTTTAGCCTGCTGGCTCCTGAATAGTGATTATTTCTGATTGATAATCTCCTTGCGATTAATGACAATAGTATAGTCATAATTATATGTTCTGGTCAAAACGTTTGAACGACGACTCGTTATATTATATGTTCAAAGTAGACGCGCTACTTTCGTGTCGCATTTAATGTTGTTATTTTGTGTCGTTTTCGAGCTGAGAGGCCAAGGCTAAAGCATGTTCCATACTGGAACAAACCGCCTAGTGTGTAAGACACTTTAAAAAATATAGGCCTAATAATATACCTTCGACGATTCGTTTGTTTTTCTTCATGTTTATGAACCAATGTTGATAGGGGTAACTTGGTCTGATTCCACCGTATACCGTTGGTAAGTATTTGGGGTCGATGTGCTTGTGCAGTGACTCCATGTTCTTTCCGTGGAAAAAAAGCTGAAACACAAATACTTAGTTAAGTTTGACTATCTCAAACTTTTAAACCAATACACCAAAATATCACACTTACCATTTCGTGGTATCTGCGACCTAATAGTGGTTTGAACAAGTTAAACACCGTGTCGAATACCCAAGATTCGTTCAGTATGTGAATAGCATACGTTTTTATGGGAATAGACGACTGAAATAAAACACAAAAATATATTAACAAAAAAAATTATATTGTAGTATTCGAGCATTTCATGAAAAAATAATGATGAATATATCTGTAAATAATATAAATGAATGAAATATTTCAATAGGTAATTTCATTTTTCGAACATTTATTATATTTTTTTGTAATAAATGCAATGTTGGTTTAATACCAACAAAACTATGATTTTTACCGCTTAATTAATCATACTGCATTATTCCAATGCAGATAACCAATAAATTATTCAAACGTAAATTATGTATTTTTCTAAATTTTTATTCAAATCTCCTCACTTAAGGAACTATTATTTTTAAACCTATTTATTGTTTTTCCAGTACTGTAATCACTATTAATTAGTAGGTATTACATTATACAAATGTTATAAAACATTTCTTAAACGTGTAATCGTAAAAAAAGTATAAACGCGAAATTTAATACGAATTTTTGGTATAATTCATTTCCATAACTGCCAAATAAAAATTACCTATTACAAAAACCTTGTTGTCATGTGTGATTCTTGACATATTACAATATTACATGATAAAATATATTTGAGATATTTTTTAGCAAGATAAAAATAAAAAAATTGACTTCATTATGAACATTTTACATAATATATCTAATACTTACAACAATGAGCTCAAAGATTTTCGAAACTACTTTCGGCGAAACTTGGTAGGCGTGTTGCATTGTGAATCCACCCAAATCAAATATGACCACACCACCGAGTATCTGGGCTGTTGGCTCAAGCACGCCCAGTTCGAGTGTAGCATATGAAGCTTTCAGTATTTCCGTTATGTCGAAGTCGTTGATGTTCCATTTGCCTATAAGTCAAACGGCTATGGTCAGTGTTGTAGCAATGTAAGTAGTTGAATAGATGAAAATATATAATTATTTGTTTATACGTTTCTATATTATTTTAATGACAATTATTTAACAAGAACAATAATAGGTTTTTTCATTTTATATTTAAACCTTTCTGACTTTATTGTATTGTCTGTTTAATAATTAGTATAGTTTATAGTATATTCGAAATATCATGTACAGTATTATTCGTGTACCTAACAAAAACATGAGAGAAAACATAATTTACGAGGGTAAATAATTATAATTTGTTACGGGCATACTTTAAAATGTAACTCTAACTTCACAGCGTTGGCTACAAATAAGCCTTTACTATCACCATTACAATTAATAGAATACAATATTGTCTTTAGTCACCGTTCCAATTACGGCGCTTCGGTTATGTAATTTTGACACGAGACCGTGTGTAGGTTAGGTGGTGTTGAAAATTCGTTGGGCGTATGTTGATGTTGATTGCCACATATATTATGTTTTTTCTGCACAATCATAATGATCGATTCAAATTTTAATTACGTTTACTAGTGCACTGAAAACATGATCGGATAAAAAATTGTTGATCCCGGTGCGATAGGAAAACGTGGAGAATTCGATGTTTAGAAAGTATTATCGGAATTTTTAAATGTCATGGGATTGGATTTTACACATCAACACTGTAAACTACACAGATAATTCCATAATAGCATGTCACGTTGTAATAGTAGTAGATCGAGCCGAATTTCAATTGAATTTAATCGAGTCCTGATATCATTCTGAACAAAATATATTATATCATCTTAAAAACTAGACGGATAATTTTTTTTTTTATGAAGGACATTATTAATGGATAATAACATTAGTATTGGCCTGATCAAATGGCCGGAAATTGTTTTTAAGCATTGACGCCAAACATAAGTCTTATACTCCTTACTGAATTAAACTTAATCCAACACAGCAAAATTATAATCATTATGTTTTTCGATTTTTTTTTTTTAAGTTATATACTATAAGAGTATTTTTTAACTAATATAACTAATTAAAAACACCGTCCACTTGTTGTTTTTGGAAATATGAAAAAATGTAACATAAAATGTCGATGTGAATCGTTCTCAGGATAATTTTCTTTTAAAGAATAGTAGTTTTATTGATTTAATATAATGTGGCAATGTGTTTTATTATAATTACTTAGTTCTAAAATAAAACTAGTACTCAAAAACGATTCATTTTCTAGTTTTGTTTACTACAGTGGAATTAATATTATTTTATTTTTAAATATTATTTTTATTATTTTTTTAAGTTTCGTAACGCATTTGAAAACTTAGGGCTGTCCACAATGAACTAAAATGATAGTATTAGATATGTGTAAATACACAGGGTGGTTGATATTATATAATTTGACTATCACCTGGACTTGTTTACGTGTACCGTAATTATTTAATTGACAACACAAAAATATTATCGATACGATAATAATTATTGTCTACATATTTATACTTAGATACATGGAATGTCTCTAACCGTCGACATTTTTTTGCTTATGCATGCAGAGACCTTCGCCGTGGTATTGACACAATAAATACATAGCTGCATTATTATTAATGACAATAACTGCGGGAACTTGCCGTGAATATAATTTTCCTACAATTACAATCACCGGTAACTACACATTTCACAGCGATTGTGAATTAAAATGTGAACAAATGAACAAAAAAAAATAATAATAATAATACCGAATCTTATATAGAATATAGGACAGTTTAAAGTAGAAATTAAGAATTTATGACACCCAAACTGAAAACAATTAATTTCAATAACAGTTATTGTTTTACTATAACACAATCACAACCAACGCATTCGAGGAACTATTAAAGTTTAACCTCTTACGCAAATTGCATTTACGATTAGCAAAATATGCTATTTAATAGTATTTACTATTAATTCTATTATTTTATAGTGGTATTTTGCATTATCATTAGCAGTAAAGCCTAAGCGTATTACTAAGCGATTTATTGCTGATTTTATAACGATTATTTCTGTGAAATTCAGGATTACAATTTAAAATGTGTTTCATAAAACATAACGATATAATAATGATAGCCTTATGAGTGTAGTAACAATGGATACGTTTCGGAATGGCCTAAAGGTAGAATAATAAGTAACACATACCCTACTACAACACAATAATTTAAGATTGATCAAACTAAATAACCAATATAATATTGTTATTGGGTCTGATATATAACTGATTGTTAAAATAACAGTTATTTTAACAATCAGTGTGATTTTCAAGACAATTTTCTAATAGGGAATTACGCGATACGATCAACAAACTATATCACGAAATTGCTTATGCCACGAAAATACCTTCCTTCACCCTACAACGAGTTTGAGCCAGGTTTAAAGCTGTTCCTACAAGCATTATAAGACTTGGCTATTTCAACAAAATACACGATAGCTCGCAGAACGGTTTAGTTTTTATAGCTAAGACTTGCAAACTAAATTTGTTTAATATAGTTACACAACTTATACATTTATACGCATCGCTTAAGAATATTTAATAATTTCTGTTAACATTATTTTAGCCATTTTATCAGAAGAAGTTGAGTGGTAACTTTTAAATTATCATGTTTTCCCCTTTACACACGTCATTGGCCCTAATCAGTTTCCGTAGGTTCTATAAAAACCTAAGATAAAAGTACAGTTTTTAACATTTGATCTTGTTTATGTTTTTTTTTTACTTTGTTGCATTTTATAATCTACAATTAGCACACTGTTGTGTACTTTCATAGTTAATTATACTGTTGGACTTTAAGCAATCCCAATTGAAGAGAATAAAGTTATTTAAAAAATAACGTTAATAATTATTCTTATGTATTATTTTTAGTTTCTAATCAATCGTTAAGATTTATGACGTATGATTACGAAATATTTATGTTATTCGATTCTCATTTCTTCTCTGATTGATTTCAATAATATTGATCAAATATCCTAACACATTGTTATAGTTTTATACTATTGCTTTATTGACATTAATAATAACACTCATTTTCCTCTCACCCCTCGTTAATTCAATATATTTTAACGTTCACTTCAACACATAAGACCTGGTCCCACAACAGTGCTATTGAACAAATTTCCTTTCACCCACAGCTGCACATGTTGCCTCTTTCCGCCTTATCCAAGAACACAAATTATCTTGAGAAGCCACATCTTCAATTTCTCCATTCTCTTGTATGTGTCATAACAGATATAAAATAAAATAATTAAATTTCCTAGTATTATTTTATTTATACCTCTTATAATATGTAAAGACGTTATAGATCCCCAACTCTGTTGCTATTAGTAACTTTAATTGGATTAATGATAATAGATAATATTAATCGTTAAACGAGAATATAAATATCAGTTGAGTTCTGATACTTAATACTGTTTTGTTTCAGTACATACACTTGCTCTGCGACTCCTTTTATTATTTCTAAATCAAATATTTTGCCATTTATTTGATTTTCAAGCACGTCCTTTAGGTAAAATATTACTGGTTATAATCAAATTGACATATAGCCTACACTGATCCATGTATTTAACTATTTATAATAACTATACAAACTTTATGTATAAATTGAATTTAGTGTAATTTTGTGTCAATTAACATCTTAAACGTCAATGTTCAGTAAATGTTAAACGTTCAACAAATATATTTTAATAACAATATAAATTTTCCATAATGATAACTTTTAGAAAACCTTTAATAATGGTAGATAATACCAAATACTAATATGCACATTACACAAAACTTTGATACTCATTTATTTAATTACTATCATTGATTTGCGGCAATAGCCGTTCCATACGCACTGTTTTTTACGGCCTATTGGCTATAAGCAACGATCGAAAGCGCTAAATCAGGATTTATCGGATGTGTTTACATTTAACAAAGATGTCAAATCTAACACTTAGTGCATAATAACATTATGTAGGTGGGTTAAACGAAAAACTGACAATAAAATAATAAGCATAAGGAATTTGTGACTTTTCCAATTGTTTACCAAATGATTGTCTAATATTACAACGTTTTTGGCAGATTTTTAATTTTAGCAAATAACGTTCCATAGTAAGTTAATTTATGAAACCTTTCGCAAATATTTTGTAGATGGTTCAGTTATTTTTGTGAGCAAGTATAAATTCTAAAAAACTACTGATAAGCTGTGGTGTGTACTGTGTTTACCGGTATTGTAAAGTATTGTTACCACGTTACTAATATTAACTAATCTACCAAAGTTATTAATTTTTATTATGATAGCAAGTATACATTATTTAGTAATACCTATACCGTACATTAATTATAATAATAAATAATTATTTCAAATTATTAGTGTAATTAATCGATATGCAGAAGTACTACTACATCTAACAATGGTTTAGCACTAACTCATCGTGACATAACAATTATTATCATTACTATTATTATGATATTCACCTATTCTGTAGATCAAAATTCGTCTTCCTGTCTGCTCTGTGTACGGTAACACGCTGAGCACATCGGCGTCTCCAATGAACGACAAGTCCAACGGATTGATTTTGTAATAATCTGGGTTGTTTTCTCTAAATCTACAGTAGTTGACCAACTGAAACACAAACAAATTCACTAAATCAGCGATAAAAACAAATAGAAATATAATTAAAACTATCTTTTATTTATGCCTAAAATACAATAGTAATTTATAATTACACAAATGTTAAAATACTCTACTGTGATAACTATAGTAGGTATATAAGAGCAATAATTTTCAGTGTAAAAGAGCAATGTCAGCAGTATAAACTGTCGTGTCCCGGTGTGAAAAGTAATTACCAAATTGATTAAATTTAATTTTTGTAACTATAAGTATAACCTATTTTTTTAAACATTTCATTTTCGAGTCCTTCGATACACGACCTATTTATTTAATAATTATCGTTGTTCTTATTTTTCACTTTAACCAATGAATGACGTTATACTGATTTATATCAGCTGTATTCAACGGATCGGTAACAGTGCAATAATATTATAATAATAAAAAATAATTAAGATAACGATAAATTGCGGTACGCCAATTGTGTGGCTATTACAACACACAATGTCGCGTAACGATAAAATAATACTAATATTAATAATATAATACAATTATTTAATTTGTTCATCATTCATTTCTGGTGTAACGCTCGACTAATTTGTCACTACTCGACCGGCAAATCAAAACCCTGTGGTTAGTCTCATATTGGGCAATACTAAAAAAGTGTTTGAATTTAATAGCACACTTACATCAAAATCATATTTTATTATATTTAGAAAAAAATTACTAATATGTTTCTTTTTTGTCATATTCTTGGTAAACATATTAGTATTGTTCTTACAACCTTAGAGAATTAAAACCAATCGTCACCACGACTCTATCACATCACAACTACTGCAACAACCAATATGATGATGTTGTTTTTAAATAATTATTACTGACTAGTCTGCATGATATTAATTTTAAACGTTTTATTCACATCCCAATTTTCGATGAACCCACTGTTAGGCGTAAGGAAAACCATAGGATAAATAATAAATAATTTTTTTACTTGATGATACAGCGTTTTAAATTTTAATAATAAAATAAAAATAAAATTAAAAAATAACAATAAAAGAAATTAATAATAATATCTAATAAGGATATTGTTTATCTGTTTTTAATTATAAAATGCTAAATGCAATTAATCCTTTTTTGTTTTAATTTTGTAAATTGTATTAGGCGATTTGCATGTTGTCAGGACTCACGTATAAGTAATTTATTATATTATTATTACTGTTATGGTAAAAAAATAAGACCTCGGTTAGGTTAGGTTAGGTTAGGACTTTTATTTAAAAATAGTCAAAATGGGAAATGCTATCAGCTATCGTAATATTGTTAGAATAATCACTGAATTAATCTTAAATGTAATGTGCAACGTGTTAAAATATACACTGCTGGTAATAAATACTAAACAAGCTAAAAATTAAAAATCCATTAAATATTTAATTGATTTAGGTCCAGCTAAGAGTTAATATTAACTGACTATAGTCAACTAACTTATATCACGTTAATTTTATTTAAAATCTAATATTTTCAACCCGGGTTATTAGATTTTTTTTATAGATTAGCTGTTATCAAGCATCTTATAATAATACGAAACAATATCTGGTCAAATTAAATATCAACTATATTAACAACTTAAAACCAGATGTTTCTACGACCAGCCATTAAAAAAAATTATTGCAATTACTAGTTATGATTCGTCGAACTACTGTTGATTTTTTACTTTTTCCGAGTAATACTCTTACCAAGTATTTAGCAATATCGTATACATTAAAAAACTTGAAAAATTGTGTTGTCATAATAAAGAAATAATGTAAATAAGTGAGGTATGTTTTTTTTTTAAGAAATAAAATCGAAACCAGATTCACAACACAGACGGTAAATACGTCCTCGCCCTCTCTGTCGTTTATTAAAAGTCTAACATAATATTATCATAATCCGTAAAGTTGCGTTATCGTCGGTCATAAGGAGTTTGTAATAACTAACCAATTGTCAATATTTCGAGAAAAAAAATTTAATAATTAATTGATAATAACGACGCGACGATAAAAAAACACTATTGTCATCTATCCATTGTTTTGGGTGTTTCTAAAATAAAAAAAAAACGCACACAGACATAATTCGAGTGACCTACTATTAATGTTATAACTGCACACGGTGCACGTGTCGTTCATTATTTTTTTTTTACTTTGTACTTAATTGATGATGGCTTATAAGGGACCAAACTAGAAACGTATAATAACGTTCCAGCCTTTCGTGTTATTATCGTAATTCATAATAGTTGAAGGGGTGAGTGGATAAAGGTGTTGCCTCACAATTTCAAAACTGTTCAGGAGACAACATTTTAGTCAATATATTCTAATGCTTGGAACTCTTTTCATTTTAAGGCTCAACACACATTAAACATGTTATAATATTTTACTAAGTCGTGTGATATATCCTATAACACTCATTCATTCAATTTAATCTATTTTTAAAACTATTCAAACTAAAAACTATTTTATAAAAAAAATGTCACTTAACGCCACTATCCACTCACTATCCTACAACCGTGATCAACAAGTGGAAAATCGGTGATGATAATATTCGAAAATTTTATAACGGCCGAAAACAAGCAAAACGTCGATCAGCCGTCGTCTGAAAACGTCACGTGTTACACGTTGAAAGTACCTAAATGCTTGTTACGTTTTATCATATATATATATATACACACTCGCATGGTGTATAGTGTTATATTATTATTGGCGAGTACTCAACACAGTTTGTTGATCCTTTGCTTTCACGGCCGTCGGTGAAAGGAACCGACGCGACGAGGCCGCGCACTTATTTACACTAATACATCAATAACGTGCGCCACCTATGCCGTCTAATGTGTAATATCTAGTAAGTAACAGTAAGTTAAGTAGTTAAATAGTAAAGTAAGTAACTAAGTAAATTCAAATAAGTAACAGTAATATGAAGCCCGACAAATGCGAAAACACAAACATAATCATAATTGTGCATTATTCGAATAAAACGCGATTATCTAAATATAATCAGATCACACATTATTCTTGTGAAAATTATTCCAATATATTTTTATTCAAATAACTTTCAATCATAAAATATAATTCAAATAATTCCCACGTAATTTGTTTTAACACGATTCCGTAAAAATACAATAATATATAAGAATGATGGGAATACGAATTTTCACAACTGGGAACACAATTTAAGCAATGAGCTTATATTATGAGTTGTGACCTTTTTTAATTTCCACGGTAAGCCGTCGATCTATGATTTTTTCCTAGCCTTTCATAGTGTTTAGCCAACATGTTCTAAGGAACCTATTTGGTATAAGCGCCGTCCTCGTCGGCCTGTATGAATGTTACAGCAAAACGGCACTGCATACAGACTGATGCATCAAACCAGTTATACTATAATACTATGCGGTCGATGAGTGGCATAAAAAAACGTTTAAAACGAACGCACAGATGCAGTATCGAACAGTTCAAAGACGCCGTTTCGAAACACGTTTATGGTTCGACAATAATTATTATTATAATTGATAAAAATAAATAGAATAAAGGTGTCTGTGATGGCCCCGGGGCATTTGTAATGCATCCAAAAGGTCTTGCGGTTACGACATATTGTTTCTCATTATACAACCGTCGAGATGGATGCAATTTGAACAAATTGTGATCGGTCATACATAATATACGTCCATACGGGCAACGAACAAATGCGAACCATACGGTTTAACGCCAATAGCTATCACTATCAATCATTAGATAACATAGTAAAAATACATAATATACGAGTACAAATTGTACTTGTGCTTTTAAAAGTAATAAAATGTCGAACTCCTGCGTCAAACCGATACAAAATATAATATAATATACGGTTGCTATTTTAAAATTTGCTATTTTCCGGCCGCAATAGTATGCTATTACCATCCGAATTGGTTACATAGTCTGACTGACTTTACTGAATCCAATTCGAATCATGATACAGGCAAAACACACTCGGATAATAATCATCTTTAGGTGTGCAAAATGTCGACTCTTTACACATAAGCGATATTATGATTTAATGATGCTAATAACAGGGTCACGTCACACCCTGCTCACGGTTATTAACGTCTCCGTCATTTGCATTGTCTTCGTGTCATATTTTTTTATTATTTTTTTATGCTAACACGCAATATAAGCATAGACAGAATAGATAAAAAATATAAACATCAAACTTTACACAACCATGATGACTTTATCGCCACTTAGACACGCCGAGATATCCTCAGTCGACCGCTATATTGTCTTGATTAGCGGGCAATTTGATTAAGGTTATTTCCATGCATTTAATCTCCTTGAATTTTACTTCTGAGCCTTGATGCAGCCAGAGAAAACGACATGTTACATACGTATTTTATTACTTTGTTTTATAATACACAATAATTATTACTCGTGTGAAAATTACAAATAATAAAATATTATTTTATCGCGTTCTATGCGTTTAATGCGAGACTTTTTAGAAGTCTGTACTTTGAACACTATTCACAAGCACGGGAATTATTACACAAGAAGCATGCGTAATGTGTTTTCAGTTTTTATGTATCACATCTCAAGCTCGTTTCATTGTTGTTCTAGGTATATGCATCAAATCAAATTCGACGCAGTGCTGCGAAGGTATATTGATTTTACAGTGACAACCTTATGCCAATATCATACAATGTTTTTGTGCGCGGGCCTGGTTCTATGATGCCATTCTAACTACTGCACTAGATGGATTTATAGTTGAAACAGTTCACACCTTCTCAATAGATCTCACCCCAATAAAATTTTGCTTATATTTTTCGGCTTAAACCCTCAGCTAGTATTGATAAAAAGTTGAAATAATCCTCAAATGTATTTGCGGTATTAGCCACAACACTCTAGATTATACAGCGAAAAAACAAAAAAGGGAGACTCGTTTTTGGATTAACAATAAAAAAACAACTTTTTAAAAAAATTGTATTAAAAATTGGTAATTTTACAGAAAAAACTGTAAAAAAA